AATGCAAAAGCTGGCAAGAGAAAGGGAGAAACATTTAGGCATACTGCCGCCCCTGGGCTTCTACCCTACTATCACAGCTCTTAAGGCAGCTTTTCACACAGATTCTCTGCCACCCAAAGAGTCAAAGAGGGGGAATGATTCTCCCCAAGGGTTAGAAAAGAAAGAAAGAAAGAAAAACAGTCCCCCTCCTGGGGGCTAAAAAGAATGGGGAAGGTTCTGAGAGGAAAAAATTGGGGCAAATTCTGTGAGGAGTGTGAGAGATGTGCAGAGAAGTATACAGTAGAGGTTAAAGCAAAAGTAATACACTGAGCCTGAGCCCTGTGCCCCAAGGGATTCTGGCCCTCCACCTTGGGACCCTGGGGTTGAGGCATTAAGGAGAGAACTCCACGATATGGACCCCTACAACCAGCCCCTCACTGGGAGGCATGGGCCAGGGGAAAACTTGGCCCCCCGGCCCTAATAGACCTCTAGAGTGGTGCCCCTGGGACGCTAAAGATCGCAAAAAACTCTGCAAAGCAGTAGTGGAAGATGGAACAGGCCCTCCATGGGCTCATATCTTACTACAGGACATTGCCTGTAATCCCCGTGTCTCAGAGGACTGGTTAGATCTGATCAAGGTCGTCTTTCCAGAGCCCACTACATCTTCTCTAAGGAGGAATGCCAGACCAGGGCAGAGGCCAACTGGGCAGCCAACCCCCCTATCCCTATCACCTATGACATGCTATTAGGTACAGCTGAAGGGTACTTTACGGGGGTCCAACAGGCAGTCATGCAAGGGCCTTACTGAGATCAGGTTAGACAAGCAGGGCTTGCAGCCTGGAGCACATTAGGTGAAGGGCCTACTGAATCTCCATAGCAGGGGGAAGACAAAAACCCAACGAACCCCTACAGGAGTTCATAGATAGAGTCCAACGCAGTATGTAGTTAATTTCCCCACTCACGGTTGCCCTCAGGGGATTACTGGAGGAATGGGCATGCTCCATACAACATATGAGGAGGGCATTCTGGGCTCTCAGGATTTCTGTCTGAGGGAAACCACCATGCCGACGAGCTGGCATCAGGACCTAGGATATTGACCTTAAAAGATAGTTCATAACTGCAAGGCATGCCAGCCCTTCCTAAAGGTACCCCCTTTACAAACATAGGGAGTTAACCCCAGAGACCCAGAGCCAAATATTCTCTGACAAACAGATATTACCCATTTTTACATGCTTTAGCAAACAAATATATTTTTGTTTCAATAGAACAGAAAGGGGAATTAGCCACCATATTCAGTTACTCTGCATGCTACGGCCATGGTGCTCCAGCCTCGGGGATACAAGGACGCCTGTGCTGGGCCCCAATCAGGGCCTTCTGCTCCCCAGTGACCCCTTTGTTCCCCTTGTGGGGCAGGAGCTCCTGGAGTGGCAGTCCCTATAGAAGTGATGACAGGATACAAGTGGTGGTGTGGGAAAGAGTGCCCTGGCCATCCAGCTGATCCAGAACCATTTTGTGGACAAGTTATGACCCCACCATAGAGAACTCCTATCGGAAACAGGTGGTCATAGATGGGGAGACATGTCCGCTGGACATCTTAGACCCAACAGGTCAAGAGAAGTATAGTGCCGTGCAGGACCAGAACATGGGCACACGGGAGGGTTTCCTCTGTGTGTTTGCCATCAACAATACCAAGTCCTTTGAAGACAGTGATCACTACAGGGAGCAGATCATGTGGGTGAAAGACTCAGACGATATGCCAATGGTGCTGGTGGGGAACAAGTGTGACCTGACAGCTTGTTCTGTTGAGTCTCAGCAGGCCCAGGACTTTGCCTGCAGCTATGGCATCACGTACATTGAAACATCAGCCAAGACCCAGCAGGGTGTGGAGGATGCCTTCTACATACTGGCATGTGAGATTCAGCAGCACAAACTGCAGAAGCTCAATCATCCTGATGAGAGTGACCCTGGCTACATGAGCTGCAAGTGTGCGCTATCCTGACACCAAATGGCAGTACTCCAGCTGATGGCTATCCAGCTCTTCCTGGCTCTGGCTGCAGCCCAGAGGGACCCACACCAACCTCAGTGGGTGACCTGGGTGCTGATCAGTGCTGGCAATGGACCCTGGACAGAGGATCCTGGGACACTGAGGATTGGTCTCCTTTTTCATAAAGAACTCCAGTTCTCCCAAGTCCCCTAAGCTTGGTACCCATAGTGGGTATGGCCTTCTCTCCCCAGAGGTCTCATCCCCATACCCACCACTGCCCCCACATCCTCTGATCTCCCCCTCTTCCCAGCAGCACCATCTGACACTGGCCCCAGGAGAGCTCTACCGCCTGCCTCCAGTATTCGCTACCACTTCCCAGGGCCCCACTGCTGGCTCTTCAACATCCTCGGAGCGTAGGGACAATGGTGACTATATCAAGACGGCCTTTGGTGTGGCCACACCCCATCTCTGAGACCCCCTGTTCTTCCACCAAGGCCCTCGCCCACATGGCCAGTGGCAAAAGTGATGCCCAGCATCCCAGGGCTGGGGCTAAAGCTGTTTTTGCTGCCTCTGCTCTTGGGTGAAGCCCTGCTGGGCCTCTACTTCTCAAGGGATGCTTACTGGGAGAGGCTGTATGTGGACCAGCCAGCTGGCACACCTCTGCTCTATGTCCCTCCTGTGCAGGATGACCCTAAAGAAGTCCCAGCTTCCGCCTGGGCAAGAATCTCTCTAGCGCCTTCTGCACATGGCTGCATGAGAATGATTGGCTCTACATCCTTGAGGACACTGACCTTCTCTACCTCAACCAGGGCCTGGTCCACAGTTCCTGGTAACAGCTTAGCATTCACAATAGTGGCTTCCCCTTGCTCACCATCTTCTTCCAGGTCTCCCTGGGGTTCGCAACCCAGTGGGAGGACAAATGCCAATGGCCAGGCTGTGCCCATATGCACGTCTCATTCATCAGTGACTCCTTCCCAGCATGTAGCTCCCTCAAATCCCATGACCTCTACATCCTGGAGACAGACCTGTCCTTCTGCATCAGGGAGAACAGGTGCCCTGGCACCTTCTACCCGTTACACCTGTTACCTGTGCAGTTCTTTTGCCCCAACATCAATGTGAAGGCTCTTGGAAGGGGAGAGTCTACCCTTTCATTGCAGCCCAGAAAACTTGGAGGTGAGCACTCGCTGGGCCCTGGACTGGGAGCTTCAGGGGAAGTATGTGCTGGTGGCCGAGTGCATGGTGGACACTGGAGCCAACAAAGAGAAGGTGACTGTGTGCTTCCCGGTGACCATGTATGACGAGGATGACTCAGCACCCATGTTCTCCAAAGGCATGGGGCTGACAATTCTCCATGAGATTGGACTCAAAGATGGATTAACTCTAGTAAATCCTAAATGTGACTGGAGCAGCCTCCTTTTGGAAATTATCAGCCATATTTGGGCATAGGGGTAGGGAAGGATGACTCTCTCTTTGTACCTTTAATGGGTTTCTTAACTCTTCTCTCTGTAGATGTTCATGTAAATAATTCTGGTAATAAAAGCCTTTTCTCCTGCCCATGACATTGTTAAAAAGAGACTTTTTAGAGAAATCTCTGAAAAATTTTAACTAGTGTTTGGACTAGAAACTTACATTGTGTTTGCTTCATAACTAACTTCCCCAGGGACAGTAGGCTGATCTGCCAACTGATTTTCTGTATTCTCAATAAATGTTGGGTTTAACATGAAAAAAAGAGGGGGTGCCAAACAGGTAAACTTTGTAAAGACATGCCCTGAGCCTAAACCTTAAAATAAGGTGGGCTTACTGAAAAACAAAAAGGGGAAGTCTGTGGGGCACACAGGATGACATGAGAGGAAGTTAGCCCAAGTTGTTTATGCTGAGATTAGATACAAAGATCAGGAGGTGATGTCAGTGCATAAACAGCTCGTAAACAAAGAAATGAGCATAGGGTGACCTTTCAAATGATTGGTTGGTTCCTTCCACCTGCTCCTAGGGTTCTGAGGTTTTCTGCTGTGAAAGAAGCTTACTGCCCAATAATAAATGAGTTCTTGTTTGACTTGATTCTCCGCTGTTACTGATCGTCTCCATGTAAGAGGAAGGCTGGGAAACGGGCGAGCAGGGCGCACTTACCTTTCCTCGGTTCCAGGCCACCTCTTCAGAGGTGACCTACGTTCCTGGTGGGGCAAGACCCCATAGAGAATATTGACTGTGAGGTGCCCAAGCACAACTGATACATCTGCAATGAATCCATTCAGCCTAAGACGTGGGAAACACACAGAAGATTGACAGAAATCCCCCAGAGGCTAAGGATCTCTGTTGATGGTATATATACCCTAGACATGACAGGAAAACACACCTATGAACTCTCAAAGTGTATTTAGTGAAATGTGCCATCATAATCACACCAGTTGATATAGAAATAAGGACAGGGGAAATTCTTCATGGTCTTACCTCTAGATGAGGGAACACAGCAGGTCAACAGCTGCTGAAAGAGAGAAAATCAGCTGCCTCAGTAGGGAAATCCCATGTTGGTTTTCCAATCACAAGTGCTCAGCTCAGAATACATTCACATACAAACAGAACTAACTGGACTCAGTAGGTTATATGTACATGTGATCATATAAATATACATATACATAAAATGAAATGTAAAGAAGAGATCATTAATATGGGAAGGGAGTGAGGCACTGGAGGGGGAGAGTATTGGTGAGAGCCATAGAGTACAGCTAAGGAACTGAGTTTCTCAAAAACAACCACTACTTTTTAAAAAAAGAATTGCATGTGGTAATATTTTGTATGATCTCTGTAACTTTTTTTGCACATTTGAAACTATTCTGAAAACTGAATTGTATTAGAAATCATTTTAAATTAAGCTCCATTTCTATGTCCCAGTACTTGTTATTGAGTTTCTGGTTTGGGGTCATGAACTCAGGCTCACAAATGCTGCAAATGATCTCTGAATGGGTTCACAATTGCTTAACACCACAACCTTTGACTGGTTGTTACATTATTTCTTCCCGTCAGTAGTTAGTTTCACAATGAACTGTGGGGTGTTACTAATTTCTTTGACTGCACTATAAATAATACCTTTCACCATTTGCGAGAAGCTGAAAAGGTGGCTAAAACTGTAATCCTAACAGCATCCACAAAGAGCTCTTTGCCATGCCAGACTACCTTTGGTTTGAAGGGATACCTTTCCCTGCTGTAGAGTATGAAAAAGAAGTAATTGAAAAATCTCGTGATAAGTTTGTGATCAGAGATGAAGACACAGTCATACTGACTTACCCTAAATCAGGTAAGAACTGTTAGTGAGAATGCTCCTGAAGTGTATTCATTTGGGTGATGAGTAGCGTGCTCTATATATCTGATGTTTAAAATGTTTTGTGGGCATGGATTGCTGTTTGTGAGTGCATTTCACTCAGAGAAAGAACACCAGCCTGGTCTGTGTGGGGAGAGGCTCATCTAGGCCATGTGAGCAATGTCAGTAGATCCCAAGGCTCTGGCATTGTTCTGTCTCTGTGTGGAGGAGAGTGGAAGGGAAAAATGAGGAAAATAAACAGAAGAAACAGCAACAAGGTATAAAGGCATGGATGTAAGAATATGTAGAGGAGAGGACAATGTCAGGTAGAAGAATTACCATGGACCTTGTCCAAGGAGTGAAAACAGTCTCAAAACTCAAGGAACCAAAAAGAAGCAGCGTGGGCTTTGGGGAGGGTTGTTTTCTGGGTGGCAGAAGCACTGAACACAGGTAAGTTATAGGTTGCTTACATTGACAGTGAACGAACATGGAAAAGCCAAGGGCAGTTGAATCCATGAAGAAGATTCATACAATGACCCAGAGAAGAAAACTAGAGAAATACCCAAAGACAAGTGAACATGTAAACATAAATACAAGTGTGTGTGGAAAATAGACAGAAGGGGATTTATTCACCTAAAGAGAACCAGTACTCATACACATACTGCAGCATGGATTCATCTCAATTACTTTGTATTAAAAGAAAGGAGCTAGTCTCAAGGACAGAGTCCACAATTACATCCCTGTGAAGTATTTGGGAAAGTTGAACTCACAGCACCAGAATGTAGAATAATGATGGCCCAGGACTTGAGGGGACTTTCAGGTAGAGTTAATTGAGTATAGTCTCAGTTTCTCCATGTGAAGTTGATAGACCCCAGACCCAGGGTGCTACCTTCTTGAGGGGGTACCCCAAGAACCCAGACTCCGATCCAGTTGATGCAACAGCAAGAGGTGTTAATTAATGCGGATGAACAGTCGGGCTGCTCCGCTCCAAAGAGCAAGAGTCACCTCTATTGCAATCACATGGGTACTTTTAAAGGAAAAACCCACAAAAGCCATAAGATTACAATTCCCATACAATTTCATGGCCTGATCACAGGGTGATCACAGAGTGGGTACAGTCACGTCTGCATGCACATTCTTCCTGAAACCTCAAGGGGGGTATCAGGGCAGGAGTGCAGTTTACACAAAGGTCACAGTGGTCCTTCCTGGAACACTTGCAACTATCCCAGCCACAGTTGAGCACATCTCTTAACAGAAATCTCTTTACATTGTTACATTGTGGCAGGGGTGGTTGAATAATGGCTGAGTCAGGTGGCCCTTGGAACTAGTTTTCTTTTTAGTTCCTTATTCTCTTGGGGCTTGGGGGGTGTAAGCCTGAAGGGTTAGGGTCTTTCAAAGCATTGACAATGTGCTGTCTGAATAAACTTTGTACTTAGAGCATGTGGACATTATGAACACCACAGGTCTGTGTGCTTGGAAACAGCTTCACTGTAAATTGTACAGGTGTACAGTTTTCTTCTTGAGGCTTTTTAACAAGTACTGTTGAAATGAATGACCATTACTTTTCCTTCTTCAGGAACTAACTGGCTGATTGAGATTGTCTGCTTGATTCAGACCAAGGGGGATCCCAATTGGATCCAATCTGTGCCTATCTGGGACCGCTCACCCTGGTTGGAGAGTCAAGGGGCATATCCACTATTAATCAATAAGGAAGGACCACGCCTCATCAGCTCCCACCTTCCCTTCCATCTTTTCCCCAAGTCTTTCTTCAGTTCCAAGGCCAAGGTCAGTGTCCAGTGGTTGAGAAATCTTTGACCAAATGCTTTTTTGAACTTCATCTACCTTGATGGGCCCTGGAGCTCTGGCTGAAATGCACTCGGATTGTGTAGGTTGTGGGTGGAAACATGAGATTCTCATGCACTAACTAAGTGATGCAGATGTGTCTCCACCTCAGACTACATCAGAGTACCAGAATGTCAAGTACCACACAGTGATCCTGGGCAGATAAATGAGAGAAAGTGAAATATCAACTAGAGCATTCAGGAACTACACATACAGGTCAAGCAGAGGGCACAATCTAGTGTACAGTGGATATTACTGTTTTGCTGTCATCAAATTCAATTAGCTAATCTTGATTCTACATAAATCCCATGAGCAGTGTGTGAATCACCCCAGACAGAGTTGCTCATAGGAAAGAGCCTGACCAGGCATCAATGCTGTAATCATGGAGATTGTTCAGCAGTCATGGCTCATCTGTACCCACTGTGTGTTGCTCTATCTAGGTGTCCACTGATGTGATTAGCCACAGGAATCATACATATCACTGATTGAGGATCTCTAGAAGGGATCAGAAATATCCAGGTTCTGACCTACCATAGTTTCTTGTTAGTAAGAAAGTTTTTTGGAAGTCCCTGCACCATGGAGCCTAAAAATATTTTATGCTTAAACTGCAAAGACAAACTTAGAAAAATTTCCTCTCTTGGAAATATCATAAGGAACTTGTGACCATTCAGTTATACGCATGTGCATTATCCGGATTTGACACATACTTAGCTGGGAAAATTGACGCCTAAAGAGTTGAATTCTAGAATAATGCCACAAAGAGTGTTGGCACAAAATATAAATTTCCTTTTATTAAAATTATTTATTTTTGATTTGTTTCTTTCATTGTCTGTGATTATAATATGATTACATACATCATTCCCCCTTCTTCCCTCCAGGCTTTCCTTCTTTCTCTCTTTCAAATTTGTGGTCTCTTTTTTCTTTAATTATTGTTATATCTGTATATGTATCTACATATTTCTCAATATTTAAATGAAACCTGCTCAGTCTATAAAATGTTACTTGTATGTATGTTTTCAGGGTTGAGCATTTGGAATTGCATAACCAATTGTTATGCTTTTCCCAGGGAAAGTCTATTTCTCCAACTCTCTGCATTTCTGAGTTGCCTGTAGGTCTTTGTGTTCACTATTGTGCAATGACACACTGGCTTTGAACTCTGCATCATGATTCTTTTGAAAGTTATATTTGGTAGTTACAGTTGTGGAAAACAATTAGTTTCTCATATTGTAGATAGATTTAGCACAGTACTCATCTATGAGTATATGAGGTGCTCTTTCTTAGTGGATGTATGGTTTTTCACACAGTAAGATATTGATCTTTACAACTAGAGAATCAGTCTTGGATTTTTGTTATTGTTGTTTTGTTTTTTAAAGTATTAGTGGCCTGAGTAATTTTACTGTTACATGTTTGTAAATAAAATAAAATTATAAAAGTGGATTCTCACTATAGATATTTTGTACTTATGTAAATATTTTGTCCAAATAAAAATAATTAATGTTTTTAGAAACCTCATGGGGATTTGATTGACATTTCATATAAATTGTGGAAGTTAAATGGTTTGGAATGACTATGTTGACCTTCATGTACATGTTTTTCTGTTTAAGGTGATCTATTTAATCAGAAATCCCAGAGATGTTCTTGTGTCTGGTTATTTTTTCTGGAGAAAGACAAAATTAGCTAAGAATTCAGAGTCACTGAGAACTTATTTTGAATGGTTCCTCAAAGGAAATGGTGAGTGTCCTATTAAATATAAGGCTTTGGTGAGCTTCAGAGACATTTTTAATGACAAGGTGAGATATAGCTCAGGTTGGTCTTGAATTCTATATAGCCAGGGACAATGTTGAAGCTCTGCTCCTCCTGCATCCACTTCTTGAATTCTAGTACTAAAAGCATCTACTACCATATTCTGTCAATTTAATACTGGGGCTCATACCCACAAGATCATGTATTTTGTCTAACTTGCTTATGTGCCTAGCCTTTAGTATATTCTTTAGTATATAGTCTTCACTTGGCTTCATCTTATCCCTTTATATTCAACAAATCTGCGGTTCTAAATCTCATCACCATTTTGAAACTAATTTTGAAGTCTTCCCATTTTCACACACCACTGAATAACAGGGCACAACTACAGCTTGACCTGTAACATGCTATCCTGGCAACGTTTGCAGTATCTGGTCTTTTCAGTACTAAGGTAGGTGTTATAATTTGTGGTATTGAATGAGAAATGCCTCAACTAGACCTTGACATTTGAACACGTGTTTCCCACTTGGTACTCTTTCAGAAGATTTATGAGGCACAATTGCAGGAGGTATGTCACTGAGTATGGGCTTTGAGAGGTTTTAAATTCTTTTTTTTTTTAAATTAAATTTATTCATTTATTCTATATCCTGACCAGTTTAGCCTCCCTCCTTTCCTCCAATCCTTCTTCACCCCCAACCCCCAATCCACTCCTCCTCTGTTTCTGTTCAGAAAGGTGCAGGCCTCAGAATGGGTGTCAACAAAGCATGGCGTATTAAGTTCAGGTAGGGCTAAACTCTTCTCCTTGTATTAAGGCTGGACAAGGCAACCCGCTATGAGGAATAGGTTCCTAAAAGTTAGCCAAAGAAATAGGGATGGGCCCTGCTTTCATCACTAGGAGTCCCACAAGCAGATCAAGCTACACAATTGCCATACATGTGTAGAGGCCCTAGGTCAGACCATGCATGGTCTTTAGATGTCAGTCCAGAGTCTGTGAGCTCCCATGAGCCTATGTCATTTGTTTCTATGGGTACCTTTGGGATGACCTTGACCTACTTGGCTCATCCAGTCCTTCCTCTGTCTCTTCAATAGACTTTCCTGAGCTAGGCCCAGTGCTTGGCTCTGGGTCTCTCTGTTTCTTTAGGTCATTGGATGAAGGCTCTCTGATTACAAAGTGGTGAGTTACCACCCTGCTTACAGGAGATGGCCAGTTCAGGCTTGCTATCCACTATTGCTAATAGTCTTTCTTAGCTTGAGTCATCCTTGTAGATTCATGGGAGTTTCTCTTACCAGGTTTCTACCTGACCCCAAATGCCTGCCCTCAAGATGTCTCTTTCATTACTCTCCCACTCCAACTATGCCTCCAACGTAATCTATCATGTTCCCATCCCAGTCAACCCAGGAGATCTCTTCTATTTTCCCTTCCAGGGAAATCTGTGCATTACCATTCCCTTTGGGCCCTCCTGGTTACCTAGTCTCTATGGGGCTGTTTATTCTAGCATGGTTATCCTTTACTTTACAGCTAATATCCACTCTTTTTTTTTTATCACAGGCAATTTATTTTGTTCTATTCATTCACAGTTAATACAGACAGTGCTTGGGAACATTTCCATATAATGTTTGACACAGAAATCATCAAATAG